AATTAAGATGATTTTGTCAAAAAAATATTGTATTACAATATCTTAAAATCATAACTTTTGCAATGTTTTTTTCGAACAAACCATTTGTACGCTGATTTAAATGAAAGCTGGTGTTACTCAAATATCGAATAAAATTATATGAAACTAAATCAGTACGTATTGGTTTCACATACAACAATATTAGATAAACAGAGACGGTGTGCAAATACCATATCACAACATTGCGATATATTTAAGCGGGTTAATGGACACAAAACTTAGATGGAGTTCACATGTCAAAAGGAATAAAGAAAAATTAAAAATAAAATAATAAACAAACGTGTTTGTATACATAAATTTCAGAAACATCTATTGAGTACTGAGTAGAAACTCTGTTCTATCCAAATAGAACAAAATTCTTGTTTACAGGTGGTATTCAACTTTGAGCCTGCTCAAGCTCTAGCATTGTCGTACACATTCAGCGATCCCAAAACAAAATTTTAGAATGCGCCGACAATGTGCCTTTCTATGTTCGCAGTTATGATATTGAACGCGATCTTGGAATTGATTCAGTCGCCGCTTTTGTCGCTCAAAGTAAATGGAAAGAAAGGCTTTAGCGCAAAACCTCATCAACATATGCAGTAGCCAGCAATTTATACGCAGATCACCATTTACTCGTTTGTCGTATGCCAGAAGCAAAACAAATTGTTCGCTAGTTTATTTTATATTAACTAGTAGCCATTATAGGCAATGAAGTAAAAAAAAACACATAATTTTGATGTAAATTCCACCCAAAAGGAGTTGAATTTTATATATTGTGTATATCAGCAAAAGCTGAACCACTTAAATGCATCGTTAAACATCATTTTGACTAAAATAGTTTAAAGTTTTATTTGTGCTATTGAAAAGTGTGGAATGATTGCTTGTAATTTTAGCATTTCCATGGTGCGCTCGAGTAGATTTTTCCTCAAAATTGTATGACTATAACTCACACCCTAACCGATACATTGGTCATAAAATTGTACAGAGTTACGAAAATCGTTATGTGTGGGGTTCGGGAGCTTGCGGCTTTGAACTAATTTGGCAAATTTTCGGCATTAAACCATACCAGATCTAATATAATAGTGATCATCACTTACTTTTGTACTTACTTACTGACTGATATAAACGTTATAAAGCTTATCGGAAACTAGAAAATTGTTTTCGGTATAGGAATCTACTGGTTCTAGCAGTATATAGTGTATAGTGTACTGGTTCTACAGTATATAGAGTATTTACCGTATTTTATCCGTCACCTAAAATTTGTGCCTAACACGCATGGACTATTATGAGCAGGATGTTATCCCTGAATTAAGATTACAGCAATATTAACCAATATATTCGGTGAAGCCAAACGCAAGTTCGAAAATTTGTAAACTAGATATAGAGTGGATAGGGGAAGTATTATCCTGATTTTGACAGCAGGGTGTGCTATTATGAAAGTGCACACAAATATGCTGCCTGAAATTTAGTACTCGATCTTACATATTGACCGCTATTTCTTTAGATAGTTATAGTCCGATTAACAATAATTTTTAAGGGGTTAGGTGGGTTTGAAATCTCCCAAAAATCGATTTTTTTTTTTTGGTTGCTTTATTAAGTTCTACAATACCTCTGGAATATAGTCCTAAATTTTTAAGCTGATCTGAGTAATAATTTCGGAGATACAGCCTTAAGAACTTGTGCTCTCAAGGCTAGTTGCGCTAAGTGCCCTGTCTTTAAACGTGTTTTTCTCGAAACTGTGTTTTTAAAGTCGGTGAACGCGATTTCTCGAAAAAATATCGACCGATTTAGTTCGTATTGTGTACACGTTTCTGAAATAATATTATCTAGTTACTGAACGAAGGATTTTTTCTTCTTTCATTACAACTTATTTTTCTGACCAAAAAATGCCGAAAATTTTACCAAAAATGAGACTTTTTGTTCAAAGCCCGAGAAAAGAAGGACAATTTTAATATTTTTTTATGTCCTACGTTCAAAAACGTGATTTAGATATGTACTAATAGAATATGCTTAGTTTTTTAATTCTATATGAACCAATAATAAATTATGTTGTCTACGGCGAGAGCACTTTTTTGAGAGACACCCAGGGAAATGCGCTCTCAACGGCGGAATTTTCAACATTTTTGTATCAAAATTTGAGGAGATATGGTTCGAATATATACCTTTGATATAACATATGTGACCTGGTCTACGGAAAGGGGGCTTAGGTGTCAAAAAATCTTAGTTGATTCGGATGGAAGATGAGATGCTTTTTCACGTGATAGAATCCAAAAAGTCATAAACTAGTTTTCGTACGTTAGCTCCTTTTTCGTAGACCAGGTCACATATTATATGTTTCAAATATATGATTGCTTGTATAAAAAAAAAAAAAAAAATCGTAAAAATACCTTTATTTTGTACCTCTGAAACCCACCTAACCCCTTAAGGGTTGGATGACATATCGCAATAGCAATATATGTTCAAAGTTGTGCACCGCTAGCTATTTTGGTGCTTATTTAGTCTATTTTCAAATGAAGGAATGGAATTTAAAATTGCGTTAGGTGGAAAAAAGGCAAAGCTGTAGTACGATTTCGGCCATTTTCATTAAATAATATAAGAAAGTCGTAACAATATTATGTACCAAATTGGTAAAGTAGTTCCTGAAGTCTTGGATTTCAACCCACAGTTAGGTGGTACCACACCCGTTACCTAACTTTTGTATATGGAGATCACTATCATCTGTTTCCAGAGTGTCAGATATTCACATTAGACTTATTAGAGGGCAGATCCTACATTTTAAACAGTTTGAAACCACCTATGCAACGAACTACTGCAATTCTCTCTAGCAAACTTCAAGTTTGCATCTTACTTTGGGATTTAATTATGGTAATTTCAGTTTTTTGTTCAGCGGTGTTTCTGAGCATAGCAGTCGGCAGATACCAACCTATTTCGGGCTCAAAGCAACCCGTGTACGAAACTTCATTAGAACAATTAATTTTTCTTCAGGTTATCGTTTGCACGGACAGACGGATAGACGGATAAACAAATTTTACTCGGAATTGAACTCGTCTCTCTCGAACCTCGACAAATTTTAGAATACAAACTACCGTTAAATTATTATACTCTGTAGCAGCATGTTGAAAGGGTATAAAAGTATCTAAACACAGCATTATTGGTGACGGGAAGCATATATTTTATACTGATAAAAACTTTACTTTAATTTGTGTTGTCACTGACATTTACATTACATTTAAGCATCGAACTAGTTTGAAAAAGCGAACAAGAAAATTTTTCTAGCACTAAATTTTGTTTGCCAAATTTTATGTGACTTAAATTGAGAAATTTAAACTTTTTTCAAGCGTTTTTGATGTAGCTTAAAAAGCAGTAAGCTTTTGAAAGCGAAGTGTTCAGCACAAAGCCCTTGCTGACACATTTTTAGGCGCAAATTTATTTTCGCAGCTGAAAATTTACACTCCTAAATTGCTAATAAACAAAAACGCGCATAAAAAGCGACGCTGAAGCGACACCAAAGTGATAACAAACAGCAGCAGTAATATGACAATAAATAAGTCAGCACTGACAAGCCGCACACAGCCACACGCGTACCGGAATTCGCAGGCCTGTATGTGTATGAGCCGCGCTGCCGAAAAAAATTAGAAGCTGACGAAGAGCTGAAAAAGAGGCGGAGGAAAAAGCGGAGAAAAAAGCACGTTTATCACGTCACGGAAAGGCAGCAGACGCACGTTTTAATGCTTAGACAGCGCTGCATACACACATAGCGGTGCTTATGGAGTTATGTGTGTGTTGGTGGTGCGAGCAGGCTTGTTGTTTTTATATTTATACGCTAATGCGCCGCGTAAAGGCATTAAATCAGAAAGACGACAAAAAAGTGAGCGCCCGGAAAGAAACGCCAGCAAACAAAGAAATGCCGCACGAAAGAAATGTGTGTTGCCTACATATAGGCGCTGGCACGCAACGGGAGTTGTGGTGTGAAATTTAAAGCTGCCCGCCATACAAGTGCAAACTAACTGGAAAAAAGTGCAGGCAACCATAAAAAATGGTAAAGGAGGCTGGTATTTTGCTTGGAAAACGCTTAGATCGTGGCGACTGTCAGCTGACGCCCTAAATTATGCTACAACGTGTGCATTTTTATTCGAGCTCAAACGAGTGGCAAACGACGACAGAGGGATAAAAAAATATGGCGTGGTGAGAAGGATATTTTGAGGAAATGGGTTTAAAAGAAGTGTGAAAATATATGCAAAGAAGTAGGGAATGATAAGCATAGCCGGAAATAGAGGTAGAACAGTTGTAAATATTATAAAAAAAAAAACAAAAAAAAAAAAAGAGAATTTTAGGAGCATGGTATGCTGACTTTTTCCAGCGAATGAGTTAACAGAAGCAAAGCGGTAGAGTAGTAGACTATGCGAAACCACGGAGAGTAGCTCTCCGACAGCTGTGCTCCGTTTTATATATACTTTTGTTGTTGTTCATATATATGTGATTTTATGTGTGCATTTCTTTTTCACCCAGAGTTTCTTATAGACTTTACTTATACACCGATAAGTTTGTTAGACGTTGGGGTAAATGTATTATTTTCAGCGGCTTTGGCTTAAAACAGATAAGTAAATGTGCCACAGATGGCTGCTTTTGTTTGACGCCAAGAAGCGGTTTTCAAAGTGGAGAGCTAAAAATTTAATATACTTTAAATTTTTAATTTTTCTATTATTTAAGTGACGGTTAGAAACCCTTAAAAAAATTTTCGTGCTTGGATGTTAAACGTTGACAAATTCTACATTTAGTTTTCTGAAGCTGAAGGAATGTGTACTTGGTTGGCGTAAACTAAACAAAAGTCTCCAAATAGAACTTCATTACTAAATTTCAGCAGATTTTTTTGTACTTTTGTCTAATAACCTTCTGTCTAATAACCTTTACTCAACTGCGTTACAGTAGCTTTATTCAATATAAAAATATTAGCATGAAAAATATGTTTTAGTACTCACATTGTATTAGTAGAATGTACAGTAATATCCAGAGGCGTCGATCAAATGTCGGTCTCATGACTTCATCACTTACAGACTGCGATTTGTTGTTGTAGCCTATTAGATTGCTTCGAAGCTTTAGAAGTTTACCCCAAACTTCGAATTGCGCTTATAATAGTGCAGTTGTTATAAATATTAACTTTTAAGTTATTTACTTCAACAGCAACAATTTTTATTTATTTATTTTTTGGCACCTTTTTTGTACAGTTTCCGTTAAAAGGTTGTCTTGTGTGGTATGCGGCGAAAATGTAAAGAAGCTGCTCGGTTCTGAAGTTGGTAGGGGCTGCAAAGAATTCAAATAAATGAAGTTTTATAATAAATTTTTTAGTTCAATACTTTAAGTTTTAGATTTTTTAATATTATAAATTATATGTTTCGAAATTCTTGCTTTTAGTTTATCAGTTAAAAGTTTAGCCTGCTGCAGAATCAAGAATGAAGCTGAGCAAGGATCACTTTCGATTCTCGGGGCAACTCGCGCTCTTTAATACACTGAGAAGGAGTCGTTGAAGGTATTAATGTGAAATCGGTCAGTATATGTCTGAAGTTAGTGGTGAAAGCATCCCAACAGAAACTGCTGGGAGAACAGTTATTATGCTCCTTAACTGGGAGTATACGGGCCTAACTATAAAGATGTATGATAGGAGACTTCGAGAGCCATCTAATCGTAGTGCAGTGTTCTGACATGTTTGTAGCTTCTCGTCTGCGTTTCACGGAATCCAGGCGATCATATTAGTCGGTGGTAATAAGAACTGGCCGGCCAATTGCTTTGTATGTTGACAGTAACGTTTCTTTGTGAAAGCAGTACAGGGTATTAAATGTCACACGGGACTTTTAACACCATCGAATGCAATATTAAGGTCAAGTCTGTATATTTTCATCTAGTTTGTGAATATGGACGCTATAGATTTAGTGTGGGAGAGTGTTAGGGTCCGTGCAGCGAGGAAGCGTGAAAGGTCGAAGAGATAGCCATTTACGTTTGAGCAAATGCCTTCGAATCAATTGCCCGACGTCAGTATCGTGCAATTACTAACATATGATGCTGTCTCTTATACACATCTAGATGTGTATAAGAGACAGGTGTGGGAGAGTGTTAGGGTCCGTGCAGCGAGGAAGCGTGAAAGGTCGAAGAGATAGCCATTTACGTTTGAGCAAATGCCTTCGAATCAATTGCCCGACGTCAGTATCGTGCAATTACTAACATATGATGTGATATAAAACGGTCAACAAGGACGTCTACACCTAACTAATGAGCGTGGTTTTATCCTAACGATGCATTTTAGTGCCTAACATGCATAACATCGCCTGAAACTTACCCAGACTTTTATAATTAGAAATCTTATGCTCCTAAAGTATTCCCTGTATTTTGATGCCGGCAAGTTGCAAGAGTATGAAATGTTCGGTTATACTCAAATTTATCCCTTCCTTACTTATTTAGATATATATTTGAAACATATGACGTAGAATATTTTGCTTAAAATTCGGAATTTATATTAACAATTTTTTTTCTCTGAGATAATAAAGCTGCATCACACCCAAACGTTTCATTGTGCTAGATTTTCAATTAAACTTTTCCTAACTTAAATGCTTTTCCACGAAATGTGTCATTAAAAATGAAAAGCATGCCAATATTAGAGTGTTCTAAGTCTGCGTGCAATCTAGGAGCAACACCACACACACACATTTGCATATTTCCACACTTCAAAGTAACAAAGCCACAGCAATCCCAAGTATTCACAGCATAAAAGTCGTGCTCGTAACTCTGCTTCGTTGCTGGATAAGAGTGACCTAAATCGCATAAAACGTCACTCCAATTAATTAATCGCCCGGGCTAATCATTGGCAGCGACACCAAAACGTCAAGAGATTTCACATTTTCATTTGGCGCAAGGCGATAGAGACAAAAGCTTGCGAGAAAATCCATCCAGAAAATCTGCTAAATCAGAAATTATGCAGAGAAATTTATGGCACAAACACAGCGCCGCAGGAAATACATATACATACATATGTGCATTATGTGTATGCGAAGTAAGTGTGCGTTTGTATTGGTAAGTAAGTGCGAGTATGTGCTTAGCTGAAAGCGTTTACTGTGCTGCTATCAAAGCACGAATGCATTTGAGTGCATAAATAAGTGGATTTACTTATATGAACGCATGCTGCATGTACACGCGAGCGCACCTATACAACCACAAACGGGTTCTACAGACACTCTGCAAATTTATGGCTTATACGTGCAAAGAAATCGCCTTGGTATGTGTGCTTATTATGAAATTACACCCACACTCGCACATTGGTATATACATATACATATTTATATGGTGTTTACCACTCATGTGCATTAGTATTTTGATTTCTGTTTATGTGTATGTGTGTGCGCAACTTTTGAGTACCCTCTTGTATATATAAACGCTACCGTGTGCCATAAATTTTCCCCGCTTGTGCATATATCACTTGTGATAAATTATGTAGTGATGACAGCAGCCCAGTGAAGTTAGAGTAAATTCTATGAATACAAAAAATATGTGTTTATTATATACATATATACAAATGTATTTTAAAACTAGTAATAATTTTCGATAGTCCTTTAATTGCGACGTTAAGATATTCATCTTATACATAGAATTAACCGAAAAATTTAAGTGTTTGTCAAAGAACGTCATCTGTAATAAATTTGGTTATACACGAAAAACTTTTTGTTGAATGATGTCTCTTACAGAAGGCATACAATTAAACTCACCTCGGTGCTAGTGGAATAAAGTTGAATATAAATGAATCTTTACTCTTGAAAGATGTCTCTTACAGAAGGCATATATGTAATTGAACTCATCTCGGTGCTAGTGGAATAAAGTTGAATATAAGCGAATCTTTACTCATAAAAATGTATGGCGTATTGTGCTCTGCAGCACTTGGGTGATTTTGGAATATTTGAAGAACTGTAAGTTTTTAAGTGACTATCTCTTTCTCGACTATGAAATCCACTTGTCCCATCTTATCTTCTAACGATGACTTTCTCTGTTTCTTTCCGTCAAGTCAAAGTCCAAACCACCTTGGCACTGGAGTATAACTTTTGTACGATCAATCTGCAAGCTATTCCAGGTATCATGAACCGAGATCTATCTCTCAAATACACGGAACAAAACTTAGCCCACTTAAGGCGTCGGTAGGGTAATACTTTTTTTTTTTTTTTTGGCTTTTCTGTTCCCTTATACCCTTAGAATCAATGTAGAAAACCCACTTTATCATTGGAATGTTTCGAAAAAGGCCCAAAATTAATAATAACGCTCGATGTTCGGAGGCTTCGGAGTGCACACCTCAAACTTTAAACGGGTTTTTCTCCAACCACATTTTTTTAAACTGGCGGACATGATTCCGGTCGAACTACTCAACCGATTTGCTTAATTATTTTTTTTTAATTCACAATTTTTGTAATTTATTGACAAAATTTATGTAAAAAAACATAGGGAAAATTAAAAAAAAAATATCGTTAATTATTTTTTTATTTACCAATATTTTTTCATGATTCTAGTAGAGACGGTAACCATTTACATATATTTTTTTGTCCCAGATGATCCAAACATGCGAAATGGTGTCCGCCAGTCAAAAGACGCATCTCATTCACGCAGCCATTTCTTCGACTGATGTCATCAAAAAATTCCGAAAAAATTTGTTTATACACTCCACGATATACCGCATAATATGTAAAAAAAACTTCTATTGTAGAATAAAAATTTCTAAGAAAAAAAAAACATGTCAAAAAACAGGCCAGATTGTCTTAATGACCCCTTATGATTTTTGGACCTCTGAAAACCAAATGCACCGAAGCTACAACATATACACTTCGCAAGAATATATTTTAAAGTATAAGTGGGTTTTAAAGATCTTTGTCTTGATTTGATTCGATCAGTTGGAGGAAACTGCAATTACTTTAGATAATAAAAAATGCCAAGTTTCGTGAAAATATCTCGGCAAATAGAGGTAGTAATTTTGGAGCGATCATTTTGTACGACAGCTATATGTTACAGTGATTCGATCTGAAAAACTTTTTCAAATATTGTACCGTTGCCTTTGTAAGAGGTTAAGTTAGTTTAGATGACTGATCACAGATCGCACGTAGACCGTTATATGTAGTCTTTAGCCATAGAAAAAAATAAATTCTGTGCTCAAACTCTAAATTAGCAAAAACGCTTAGTAGTCAATACAAATTTTGATTTATACTTGCTCTGGCAGTTGTCTGAAGGTATGCGCTCCCAAGTGTTTGAGGCTTGACTTCCCAAACGCGGGACAGTCAAACAGGTAGTGTTGAGTTGTTTCCACCTCATCTCCTTCCATACATTTTCTGCAGATACTGTCTCCTCCTAGCCTTACTGCGCTTAAAGCCCCACAACTAGGCAGAAGCTAGCCTTACTGAGAGCAAAAAGTTTACTAGATCACTACCTCAATTGCTGCAACTTTCACCTGAAAGACACTGCAATAGGTAGGAAGTCTGAAGCTGGATTTGATAAAGAACTCTTGACAGTAAAAACCTCCACAATCTTCCCACAAAGCTTTGGCACATCCGTAAAGAAACACATTGCTTCTCTCCTCCAACAGCTTGTTCCTTCCGCCAGAGTTCGGTTTGGCGATTCCATGATCTAAATGAGCAGGTATAAAGTCGAAATGAGGATTTGCGAGTGTGCAGACACGTGTTTTTTTTTTCTTTTTTTTTTTGTTTTTTTTTTTTTGTTTTTGATACCCAGACTCTCTAAGTATAATAGCAATTTTCGTAGCCATACACATTTCCGCGATGTCTACGGGCAATATGTGCAAGATGACGTTAAGCGCCATGTTTGGAGGTAAGCTTCGTGCACTACACATGCCTTGGTAATAGTCCATGCCAAATTTCGCACAAATAGCTCAAAAAAAAAGAGTTATCCACTGGGGGGCCGTCCTCTCAACAATAATTTTAGATAGATATATCAAAAACTGGGGCACTAGTATGCGTATATGTAGACGACAGACGAATAAACGGAGAGACGAAAATAGCTAAGTCGACTAAAATCTTCTCGCTGTTCCCTCATATATATACTTTATAAAGTGTTCAATGTCTTAAATGTTACAAGCAACGTGGCAAACGATAAAATATAGGTTCGCCTCTATTATCGCCTTGAATTATATTATGGAAAATGTTCCACCGTGGCAACATCCTATAATAATAAAGTCGATGGACAGTGGTAACATTGACTTGATTATTAATAATGCAAGAATCAGAATAAGACATTAATTTCGAAAGTTCATACAGATAGATACA